GGGGGGGGGGCAACATGGTGCTGGGCGGGAACTAACTCCCGCGCACCTGACCGACCGCCCGTCCGGCCGGCGCGTCCTGTAGGAACACACCCGCGCTCACACAAACACACTCACACACACTCTCTCTCTCTCTCACACACACACACACACTCGCGCATGCTACATACTCGTACACACTCACACTAGCTCGCACGGCCAGGCTCGTACAATGTGCGCGCAGAGATTGGGTTTCTCCTTTTTCGCGCGGCTCCGTAACACACACACACACACACAGGCGCGCGCGCGCTCCCTCATCCCCCCCCCCCCGCCACGCTACACCGGAGCCGCTCGTCGGCGGTCCGTCTGGCCGGTCGCTTGCCGGTCGGCCCCTCCCGCCGGTCGTGCGTGCTATTGCCCCCCCCCCCTCCCCTCACCCCCATCATCCCCATCTCCCCAGCCCAGCCGATGAAAAATGGCTATAGAAAAAGAGAAATATGTAGTTGCCGTTCGTTGCTTTGCTCAGCACGGGAGAAGGAGAAGGAGAGAGGCGCTCCTGTCTGTCGCTGGCCGTGGCGGCAGCGGCGCGCAGGGAGGCCGTGCCGTGTCCTGCGACGCGACCTGCATGACATGCATCACAAAGTATGGTCGCCTGGTGACCTCTGCGGGCGGCGGGAATAGGCGTGTGGGAGGAGGGTGTTCGCCAGCCTCGTGACCCCTGTGACGCGCGTGGCGAAGGGGGGGGGGGGTGCACTGAGGGCTGCTGCAGGGTGGCTGGGGACAAGCCAACGCCATGAGGGTCCCTGATGAGAAAGAAGGGAGAGACGGAGAGAGAGGGGGAGGGAGACACAAATCATGTTACTGGAGGAGGACAGAGGAGGAGGAGGCTGCGCACCCGGCGGACGGGACGCCCCGAGTTATGCAGATTTGTCCATGCGCTGTCTCTCTTTCTCTCCCCCCCCCCCCCCCCCCCCCCCCCCCCCCCCCCCCCCCCCCCCCCCCCCCCCCTCTCTCGCCCTCGTTTCCCTCGCGTTTCGCACGGGCGTGACAATGACGGTGGCCGTCTCCTTTCTCTTACCCCTGGCCGCTGAAAAGGTGCATAATTTTTATCATATTAGATCGCCTTTTGAGCACGGCGAGGTGGAAAAAAACTGGCCTGCCGGCCGGTAACGAGACAGTCCGGCTCCAAAAGCAAATTCAAAAGATACAGGCGCTAAGGCTTGTATTTTTAAATTCAATAAGGCATCAAAATAAGACTGAAAATCTTCCTATCAAAACCGGAACGTTAATCGGCAATTTCCGACAACGGCAACCTTTATCAAAACGGGATACTTTCACCTTACCCAGGAGCGCTTTTTCATGTTACGGACACGTTACGGAAAGCTGTTGTTAATATCAAAAGCTTGTATTTTTAAATTCAATAACGCATCAAAATAAGACTGAAAATCTTCTTATCAAAACCGGAACGTTAATCGGAAATATCCGACAGCGGCAACCTTTATCAAAACGGGATACTTTCACCTTACCCAGGAGCGCTTTTTCATTTTACGGACACGTTACGGAAAGCTGTGGTTAATATCAAAAACAACGAAAATCAGCAAATTATGCTAGAATCACCATTCAAATTTTGCTGGATTCGTAATTTCTGCGAGCGCGAAAACATGCACATTTCATATTTCAGAGCGCTGTGGTTCAACTTAAAAATTTGAGGCTGGGGATCACTTGTCAAGTGGACGGGCCATGTGGCGCTCGGTGCCGACTGAGCTCTAAGTGGGTAGGGGCTGGGGCGCGGGGCGCGAGGCGCAACGCTGCTTGCCTCAAGAGGCTCGAGTGGGGGTCGGCTGCCCCACCATGGCCCGGCGCGAAGCAAGGGATAAGGGCGCTATGTTTATAACACAACCAGGGCGATGACAGCGGACTGCTACTGGGGACGAACAGACGTCGCGGACGGAGAAAACGCCCGCCCCCACAGAGAATCTATATTATCATCGGCAATCGGCTTATCATAACTGGAACGTTAATCGGCTATCTTTATCAAAATCATCAATCGGCTTATCATAACTGGAACGTTAATCGGCTATCTTTATCAAAACTGGAAACTTTTACCTTCGGGTAGAGACAGACCACAAGGGACTGTCTAAAAAGGGGGGGGGCACAGTTATTGTGTATAGACAAACACAGCTCCGTCTTTCCACGAAGTTACGGTTCTGTAACACACCGGCACATCCTGGCTGTACTATAATAAGCTTTTTCTAAGCAGTGGATAGCGGGCTCGAACGTGTGAAACGCTCCGAGCGGCGGATGCCGGCAAGCGCAAAGCGCGTAGAGCCGTCGCCGTCTCGCCAGCCGCGCAAAGCACCGGGAAATGCAGGGCATCTTCAGGAAAAGGAAATGCCGGCCGGCGCAGTTGCACAGTTTCCTCTCAGAGTTTTCAGGGGGAAGGAGGGAGAGAGGGGGTGTCGTTTAGGAGGGGTAATAGGGGAGGAGCGAAATCAATGCGATAAACCGCCCAGCAGCCGGGCACCGCGCACACTGAGTGGGGGGAAAAGGGGGGGGGGGGTACCCACGCGATTGTGTGCGATTGCCCCGAATCGGGGTGGAGAAATGGGCTGGCGACCGTTCGCCGGGGGAGCTTCTTCCATTTACGCCCCAGCTACTCCAGGCGGGCACACCGCACCGCCGCCGCCATATCCCGACCCCCCCCCCCCCCCCCCCCAATACATCGCCCATGCCCGCCCTGTAGGGGGCCCCCCCCCCCCCCCCCCCCCCCCCCCCCCCCCCACCCCCCCCCCCCCCCCCCCCCCCCCCCCCCCCCTCCCCCCCCCCCCCCCCCCTTCCCCCCCCCCCCCTTTCTCTCTCCCTACCTGGAGGCCCTAATCAGCGCGACAAGCGGGGCGCGCGGGGGAGGAAGGCGACAACAGAATGCGAGCAAACGAGAGGATAAGGAAGGTGCACGGCCGCGCCACGCCCCCGGTCGCCCCGGTCGCGCGTTGTCGCTCCGAGGAAAAGAATAGAAGCAGTAGAGAGGGGAACGCCCGCCCCGCCTCAACCCCACCTCACAACAGGTCGCCCCACCCCGCGCCGCGCCCCCGCGGGTCGAACCGAGCCCGACGGCCCCTGCTGCTTCTCCCCCGGCCCCGGCGCAGATGGGGCCGTGCCGTGGCGCCGACGCTCCATCTGGCTATCTCCCTATAGCCCTTCTCCGCGATGCGCAACCCAAAAGGGGAGGAGCCTGTCACCCGTTTAAGCGAGGGGTCCTCCACTCTCCAAGTGGGTGTACAACGAGTTGCGTGGGTATCGGCGAGTTTTCGAGAGTATTAGCGAGTATCCGCGAGTTTATGTGAGTAATGGCGAGTATCCGCGAGTATTAGGCGAGTATTGGTCGATTTTTTCGCGAGTTTTCGCGAATTTTTCGCGAGTTGTCGCGAGTTGCCGCGAGTATCTTGCGAGTATTTTTCCTCGTGTACAACGAGTTGACGAGTGGGGGACCCCTCGCGTTTAAGGCTCCGTGAACCAGTTGGGGTCCCGCTCGCGACGGCCTTGACGGCCTCGCGCTGGCTCTTCAGCGGGCGCGGGCGGGGCGGGACGGCGCGGCTCCGTGCTCCGTTAGCGAGAGTGGGAGGGTAGAGTTTGCAATCGGTCGGGTAGAGAATCTGCGCTCACCCGACGCTCGCAGCGTAAGAGTGAGACAGCACTCAGAAGCCAGCAGCTCTCTCTGTCTCTCACGTCACACTCGGCGTCCGTCGATGAAGACGAGTCTGGCTCGCTCGGCACGCCCAGCCACACTAGGAGTCACCTGTCCCCGCAACCTCACCTCTCGCCCTGCTGGACCAGCCGAGCGGGGGTCTGCGTGCGAAGAGCGTGCGGAAGCTCGGCTAAGGGTAGGTGATTCGGAGGCTGCCCGGCTCACCCGACTTGCCCGACAGCGTCTCTGTCGGGTCGGGTCGGGTCGGGTACAGACGCCGGCGAGCATCGGGTAAGCGAAACGTCGTTTAACCGACCGATTGCAAACTCTATGGGAGGGTGATGTACATAGTTTGCTCCGCTCGCCTTGAGGCTCATGAGCCCAAATCACAGAGTTTGCTTTGTTACAACAGCCAGCAGAGCCACGGGCTTTAGGGTCATGGGGCGGGGGCGCCTGCTCGCGCCCCGCGTTTCACGTCCTGCCCCCCGCGCCCCACGTCCCACACCTTGCACCCCGCACCCGCGCCTCGCTGTCGATGCGGCCTGCTTGGCGCCGCCGTTGGCGCCACGTGCCTTCGCGGCGTCCTTATTGCCGCCATTACGCCCTTTTACTCGCGGACCCCACCCTCCCCTCCTCCCCCTCCTCGCGACAGGACGAGCGCGCGCTGCGGCTGCGGCACACAGCTCGACGGCCCCGGGCCGCGCGCGCCCAGCCGGAACGTTTGAACCCTGCCTGACCCCTCGCCGCTGCGCCGCTGCTGGTTACTGGTGTGGTGCGCGGCGCGGTCCCCAGCGCGGTCGTGCGGCTCGGCAACCCGCCGTGCAGCTCAGCAGCAGCAGCAGCAGCAGCAGCAGTGCCTGGCCCCTGCTGGATGCCATGCCCCCCGTGCCCCACCGAGAACTTCTCACTTTGGCTCGCCGCCAGCTGACCCCCTCTCCTCTCAGCCCCGCGGGGGACTTTGTTCACCCATGCCGTTTGGATGCCCTGTGCTCCCCTGTGAGCGACACCGAGTGTGGCGGGGTGCTGAACTCTGGCGGTGCCCCGCGAGCTGCTGCTGCTGCCGCCGCCTCATTATCTGTACAGTAGAACGGCAGCACAGCGCTGGCGCGCGATGGCGCCAATCTCAGCAGCACCCAGCAGTGCCAGGGGCGGGCCGGCTGCTTATTTACAATCCCTTGGCGATTCAGCACCTTACGGCAAATTCGGATGTACGCAGCCTAGGCAGCGGCCTGCCGGTTTGGAGGACAAACGTTAGGTTGGGTTAGGCTAGGTTAGGTTAGGTTAGGTTAGTTTAGTTTAGGTTGTCTGCGTGGGTACGATCAAAATAGGGCTACAGAGTCCTCAAAGCCGCTGACCGCTGCCTAGGCTGCGTGCATCTGAATTTGCCGTAAGGTGCTGAATCGCCAAGGGATTGTAAATAAGCGGCCCGCCTCGAGGCTCGAGATTGTGGAGAACGAGCCTCGAGAACGAAGTGAGGAGTGAGAACGAGGCGCGCTGATGGATGGCGACGGAGAGGAGGAGGTCTTGGTCTTGGTACGAATAAAGTCGGGCGGCAGGTGTCGCGGCGCCATTGCGTGAGCGACGTATGGGCGGGGGGAAGTTTCCGAACAACTTGGGGGCCAGGGGGCCACCGTTTGGAGGGTCTCTCTCTACCACCTCACTTTCCACACACAAGGGGCCGCGTTCAGTCGAATTTATTGCCAACACAAACAGCATCAAGAAGCCACCGGCCTGTTTTTCATTATCGTAGTCAAATTTAGTAAGTTTCCTAAGTTCAGTGTGACATCCTATCTCTAGAATTGTTTCGTAAGACGATTGTTTTCTGATTATTTTCTCAGTGGGTCGCCCACGCTTACAATGGGCCAGACGGAAGGATAACGCCCCAAGGGACGCATCCAGCGCCGGATGACAGAACCGGTTTTCTCTGTCTGTTTTTCTTTACACCGTTTGTTTTCATGTTACATTCTCTTGCTTTTTCAGTTTTTCCCATCAGCGCACGGGGACCTCCTATCCCGACAGAGGAGGCGTCGCGTCGCAGAGAGGTGAAAGGATGACATGGGAGGGCGCGCAGCAGTTCATCATCATAAGCACACCTGAAGCTTGGAGGTGGGTGTCGACCGGACCGGAAGTACATGGTACCTGGAGCTTGGAGGTGGGTGTCGCCGAGGGGTCCTTCACTATAAATTCTAGCGTACACCAATTTTTCTGTTTTTCTTGAGTTTTTGTGATTTTTTTAATGAGTTTTTCTGATTTTTCTCTGATTTTTTATGACTTTTCGTTGATGTTTTCTGATTTTTTTATTGTTATTTTTTCATGATTTTTTCATGATTTTGTCTACGGGTGTACACTGATTTTTCTGAGTGAAGGACCCCTCGGTTGTCGCGACCGGAGTACATAGTACGACGTGGTGGTGCCGCGTGTGTAGTAGTACAGTACAGGTACTGTATTCATGAATGTACGTCTCACAGCGCTGCTGTAGCATACCGTAAGCGAGCGCGTAGCGCGGTAGCCCGGCGCAGAGTCATCGCCATTCGAGAGAGCCGAGCCGCGCGGCACAGCAGCGCAGCCCGGGATGGAGCCATAAAGTCCTGAACTTTATTTAGCTTATCCTCCCTCTCGCCTCTCCATCTCCTCCACCTCCACCTGCCAGGCCTATATTCCTCCCGCTGTCCCCCGCCGCCCTCCGCGCGCCGGCCGGCTCTACGCTGGACTTTGGTGGGCTCTTCTGTGGCATGGCGTGGCTGGTGGTCCGCCCGTCGGTCCGCCCCGCCCGTCCGTCTGTCCGCTCGGCCCTCGGCCGCGCAGCAGCAGCGGCAGCAGCAGCGGTCACTGGCCGGATAGCAGGTCCTTCCCTGCCCTCCGAGCGGATCCGAGCCGAGGAGGTCCGAGCGAGGCGGAGCGGACAACGCTCATTACGTGAAACAATCCAGGGAACTCTCTAGTCGGTTCCCTCCGCTGCTCCGGTCCCCTTATTGGTCGCCAGGCCGACAGGAAGAGCGCGGGCCTCGCGCCGGCCGCGACGCACAGCTGTTCCTTCCTAACTCAGCCAGCTCCCCGATGGGGTTGCCGACGACGGCGCCGTGGCTCCCTCCCCCTTTAAAACCTCCCGCCGGGGGCCTTCTCGCTCCATGTCCGCGGCGGTGGGGCGCCTTCGTTAGTTTGCAGGGATTATTGCTGAGCGAAGCGAAGCTCACTCTGGGAAATTTTAAGCCAAAACTTTCCGTCATCCACTTCACATTAAGCTATATGATTGTCCGACATGCTTTGACTTAAAAGTAACTGCTCCGCATACCATATTCTTATAATAT